ACTACCACCACGACGACGACGACTGCTACTACTACTGATGCTACTACTGCTACTGCTACTAACTACTACGACGACGACTACTAGAAACACGACGACACTACGACGACTACGACGACGACTACTACTACGACCACTACTACCACCCCCTTCTCGCCCTCTTCCCCCAACCCTACAGCTCAGAGAACATCGGCACATACCGATATAAACATTGCCGTCGGCAGCGGTATTGCAACATATGTTGTTACCGGTCGTATTAGTATGGCCTTCTTGCATCTTGGTGTGCGGCCTCACGTGCTGGTCTGCAACTGTACCGACATGTCCGTGACTAGCTGCCTCCTCCTCAACCCTGGCTTGAGCTTCAAGAGCGAGTGCTACAAAACGGTGCCAATATGAAATTCTGTGCGTAGCGACATGTTGTTGCATATGTTGGTGTGCTTTCACAACATACTCCCACATGCTTCTGTATCATTGCTCTTGAAACATCTTGTATAGAATTATATCTATCCATAGCCCGTTCCTTCTCTGCAGTCGCGATTAAGCAGTGCTGAAGGCAGCAGATGGGGCTGGGCCTCTAGACGTGCAGGGAGCTCAGAATGAGAATGGCGAGTAGAAGTCGTCCTCGTCGAGGCATGAGTAGCAACTAATCGCGACAGGAGGACCAGCAGCAGCGCGGGGGGTAACGGCAGCAGGAGGAGTAGTGTTGCTGATGGTAGTCTTCGTCGTGGCTGCCCAGTCGCAACAAGTAGTTGTAGTGAGTCGCGAGGTCGCACCAGGCTCTGAAGATGCAGACCTCGTAGACGACTAAAAAGATGTATGCAGCCAGAAAGTAGCTGGCTAGAGTTGCGGAACAATTCAATTTTGTCCTTTTCAACCACAGGAGTACGAGAAATGTAAAAGCCTAAAAGATGGGTACACTTATCTACATCAATAACAAAGTTGTATGTACATATACAGATATATTATGTAAACAGTGAAGAGTCTTCGAGACGTTCTAGCGGAATCTTCGTCGTAGGACCTGGCATTAAAGCCATGTGTAGGAATCAATCAATCATTATACCAATACATTTAAATGTATATACATATATACATATATATATATATACAAGTATATATGTGCTGATATGTACATACACACGCACGCTTTTGCAGTACAAGTATAATAGCAGATAATAGCCTGGATGATCTGATCGCATCGTCCGCCAGTAGAATCAGAAGAATGAGTTCAGCCATGCATGTGTACCAACACGCGATAACGAGCATCTGTTCAGGCGGCTGGCTGCTCAGGACGCGCTGCAAGGCTCAGGACGGGAGCATTTGTGACATGACAGCATCGGCGCCGTGTGAAAGAGAGGAATTGCCAAAGAAGACGCGGACCATCTTCTGGCTCAAGTTGCGGTAGGGCCCTCAGTCGATAAGTTCTGCGTGTCTTTTCGCGCAATCATTGCCTTTGCCTGTTGTGCAGAGGCAGCTGCCATGGCCCAGCGATCGGCACGGCTCGGTGCATCGGCCAGCCAAGTCGGCGAGCAGGCATGTCACAGTCATAGTGCGTCCACATGCAGATGTTTGGGTTCTGTTTGTGATTCCAAGCGTTCGCAACTGAGCCACCATCAGCGGGTACTAGCTGTGAAGCGCATTCGCCAACGGATAGTCCTTGATGTTAGTAGTGTTACTTTATGTGTTCGGCTTCAGTCGTCTTAGAACTAGTCTTGCGGGAATTAGAATTGAGCATAACGTATATTTAAGCTCAACAGTTTTTATGGGTGTATGAAGATTTTGTTCTCGGTAAGCAATCACTCTACATGTGTCTTATCTGTTCTGGATGCCAAGCTATGCCGCTTTTCGTCGTGGAAGATGGAAGCGGGCCAATGAGAACCGGAAACTGCAGAGAGTTGAAGGTCGATGGAGAGCAGTGTCTCACACAGTGGCTATGTCCTATATAGATGTGCCCCGTCCATCTTTCAAGTGCCTATGAGGGGAAGCTGACGTCATTTTGTGCAGAGTTCACTCGCCGACGATGTATGTGTAGCGGCCGCAGCTGCGGTGTGTCCCTGTTGTCAACGGCTCTGCAGTGAGAGCAGCTCTTGGGATTTCGCAGACATAGGCCTAGGCTTGGAAGTGGACATGCCGCAAGAAGCCCAATGAACAGACAGAATGCGCACTCTCATCACGTGCCGATCACATGTCGCAAAACTAGCATACATGAGCAACAACAGGAGCACCGGCTGGACCGTTTACAGTTGCACTCTGTCAGGCAATCGAAGCAGCTGGCGCGCAGCAGACTCATGTCAAAGCGCATTTGCATCTTTGTCAGTTGCGGCAAACGTAGAAATCGAATGTGGGTAGTGCATGCCTGTTCTAGTTGTGACAGCACAGTCAGGCAACGTCCAAGTTGTATCGATACTGACATCAAAAGGTTCGAAAAGCAACCACGAGTGTGCTCAATGCTGAGGAGATCTCATGGCAGAGTGGCTTCCGAAGCGGCAGCAGAGGCTATGGCCAGACTGGCTGTGGCTGCAGCGGGCCGATTTGCTTGCGCCATTGACTTGCACAGTTTCGATAGGCTTATAAGATGATCGAGGCATCACTACCGGCCGCTGCTGGCTTGGTGCAGGAAGCCGCCCGTGGTACTGGGGTCTGAAACTGAGACCACATGGAGAAGCAACAGCCCATCATGACACAGATGACACAGTGCGGGAGGGCTGATGTTTGTTGAATGCCACTTGGCTCAAGCTTGCGGCGCAGTTGTTCTGGCCGTCCCGGCCAGAAGTCGCGCCTTGGCGAGATGACTGGAATCGAAGCACACAGCTGAAGCCTTTGTTGAAAGTGTCCTCAAGGAGTCGCCCCGAACAAGAGTGATCCTCTCAAGATTACCTGTCTTGTTGTGCGGTTCTCACTGTTTCAAGAGACCTGAGGGATGATCCACTATGGCTTGGTTCTACTCGCCGATGACAGGCATGTGCAAATCCGTCTGCACTGCAGCATATGCAGGGGTTCTCTGAATTTCGGTCCCCTTTTGGGGTCCTCGTCTTTTCGGGATACCATGCGAGGCGTTGATAGAATTCGCTTGGCCGGAGGCTCTGGTGATAGCTGGTACTCTGGAGTACTCAAAGGCCACGGGATGTTGCAAGCTTCGCGTGCAGCAGCGTGTTCTGATGCACAGTGGCTCAATCTTGCGCCACTGGCAGGAGCTCAAGAACTCATCGGATCAGGATCGAAGGACCCGGCTCGGTGGCAATCTGCCCTCTCCTTTTCCAAATTTACAGAGGTCGGGAGGGCGTGAGAGATGCACTGGCGCAGGATGCACACCCGATCTGGCTCGCACAGTCGCTTGTCGCAGTCGATTCCAGTCGCTGTTTTGTATCATACCATACCATGACATTCCATACTATACATTCATTCGGTCGGCTCAAGTATCGCGTGTGCTAGTGCATCTGGCCTCAATATGCACTCGATGCCCGCGCAGCCAAGGTCTCCGCAGTACTCCATGTCGGTACAGGGGCAGCAGGTGCGCTTCTCCCCCTTCTGCCGAAAGGGGAACGCGAAGTTGCACCGATCAGGTCGTTATACTCGAGACCGGAGGCGTGCATCATGGCTCCACAGCTGCACGAATAAGCTTCACGCGGGGCGATGTGTTTTTCGCGTCGCGGAAGGCTGCGCGGTGAGTCTGCTTGCGAGCTCGAGGTCATGACTGGATTGTGCGTCCTGACGGCTTGATCCTTTTCGCTTCATCACCTGATCTGGCTTTGTCTGTGGACGGGCCGCTGCAGAACGGCAGCCAAGTCGTCTTGAGACGACATAGTGGAAAGCCGGAGCCCTTCAACCAGTGGCGGTGGGACGGCAGCGGGATGCTGACGCTCCTTCGACGCACAGGCAAAACCACCAGACACCGTCTGTTGTATACAGAGTTAATGTGTGTTTTCGTGTGTATACACACACACACCTCACATCATGTGTGACCTACTTGTATCAATAGGGACAGGCACACACTCTCTCTCTCTCTATCTATCTAACTGGCTGTCTCTCTCTCTCTCTCTATATATATATATATGTATCTATACATACCTGCATACATAAATACACATACGCCATCTGGATAGATGTTGTGCTTTGGGATTTGGCCCGGCCAAGGCTCGCCGACAATCCCAGCTTCGACTTGAACGTCAGGGACGGGCGGATTCACAACGGCGCCAGCGTCATCGTGTGGCAGACGCAAAAGGCCGCCAAGCACAACACCTGGGCTTCCGAGGCCACGAGCAACCAAAAGCAAACTCCCTCAATAACACTAAGCCACTAAAGAACTCATATCACTGGGGGAGGTTGGGAAAAACCCTAAACCCCACAAAGAGCCCTTGCAGATCCCTTAAAACGGAAACCCCTTAAAGCAGCCCTTGGAAAAGAGCATCTGAGAGCATCTGAGAGCACCTTGTCAGGCAGAAGGCTCCCAAGGATCCTCTGCAAGCTTAAGTGTGAAAGTCCCGTTCTGGCTCAGAGTGGTGGGCTCACGTCGCTTGGATCCAAAGCCTGTGTAATTCCACATAGACCTAACTGCATATCTATATATATATATATATATTATTTTTTGTTTTAACTTTTTGCCGTGTAGTTTATGATATTTTGCGATATTTTATGTGTATATATATATATAAAGAGAGAGAGAGAGAGAGAGAGAGAGAGAGAGATAGAGAGAGAGAGAGAGATAGTGCTTCAAATATGTGCCAGATAGTTGCGGGCAGTACGGGCTGCTCGAATGCATCTAAGGCGGTGACCCCAACACGCTTTGGTCCTCTTTGGCCGGTGGCGTCTCCGCACAAACAGGATACGTGTCCTGCTCCTCCGCTGGAGCCCAAGACAGTTGGTTCGAGAAGCAGAGCCGGATGTACCCAGAGCTGAACAGGCAATGAATCGAGATACAGATTCTTCCTGGATGCACCTTGGCCATGACAGTGATATGGGAGAGCTGAAGAAAGCTAAGGAGGGCTCGGACCGCACTGTCCGTGCGCGATTGCTGCGCATTGCTGCGCATGCACACATGCCGATAGGTATGTGCATGACGACTACTACCACTCTGAGCACGTGACCTTCCTCAAGGTGCCCTACGGCAGCAACTTCATTTTGAAGGCCGTCGAGAAGCCCTTGGCGAAAGGTTCCAAAAAGACTAATTTGGGCCCCTTGGCAGCATCGTTGAAGATTTCCATGCCCGAGGGAGTGTAGCAAGATTTATGCAGGCCTGCAGGGTGTGCATCAGTTGTGCAACTGCTCAGTACCCAGCTCTCAAACTCAACATCCCCACGATGCAAAACACAGGTTACTTGGCCTGCACGGAGCTACTTGGAAGCACTCATTAGGAAGTCACATGTGGGCCGCGCCATTCCAGAGCGACGGAGGCGAATAGAGTTGGACAGACGAGACGCTCACTCCACATACGCATATGCCATGCTCTCGGTCTGCAACTCCCGGCACGGTGCAGATTCGCTTTAAGCGCGAGTCTTCAGTAGAAGGAGAGTGTAATGAAGGTCCACAAGGACAAGAGCCACGGCACCCAGTTCGTGGAGGAAATTTGCGCAGGTGGCTTTATGCTAAAGGCTTTGGATGGACTCCTGGAGGCATATACCCACACTTTCGAGCAAGCCAAATTGAACGCTCAGAGGCATGCCTAGTTGTAGACGGACGGCGGCTGATGATACGAAAGCCAGAAGCATCGCTGGCCAAGGACATGGAGGCTACCTGAGCTGCGTTCAGCAGACATCCGAAGATCAGAATGATGCCCGATCTACCTTGCTGTGCCTCTTCTTGGCTTGATCTTGCCGATATGTTTGTCATGTGCCTACTTAACATAACAAGCAGACATGGACATGCGTGGCTACGACTTCGAAAAATCCTGTTAGTACTTGCCATGCAATTCCTGGTTGGTTCTGGCCGAGGTATGTCCAGAAGCAGAACCCAAATCTGGCAGCTGTTTTCGTGGCCCATTCCACCGAGGACGGCACGCGTTCAACGCAATAAAGCAAGTGACTGAGCAAGGCTTCACAGGTGACATCTAGTCGGACTCGACAGCAGTAACCGTCCCGCCGAAATGTCGAGGACGGACAGACTTCATTTCTGGTAAAATACGGAAAAGCCATTCTCTGCTGTGCGCTCATACTGGTCCTCTTCGCCCCTTGCATGGCAGCAAGACTGTTGCTGGAGAAAGATTGTCCCAACAACCTGCAGATAGGTCACGCCTGGGGCCTTTGACATTGCCATTATCACCATGACTACCTCCTACTGCTCTTGCTGCTGCTGCTCCTCCTCCTTCTCCCAGTACTCCGACGACTGCTGCTACTTCTTCTTCTTCTTCTTCTGCTCTTACTCCTGCTCCTACTCCTATTCCTACTGCTACTGCTACGACTACCCCTACTACTACTACTACTACTACTACTACTACTACTACTACGACTACTACTACTAGCCACCCCCC